AGCCTTGCTAACTTACAAGAAAAAATTATTTCCCCCATTGATAAAGGTGAATCCCATTGGGGCCCCAGCAGGCCTGATGTCACACAGACCATTCTATGATCAAAAAAAAACCCCACAAAATTCTGCTGGTGACATCAGCCTCAGGACCAGACACTGATAAACTGGACCCTGCCCCCAGTGCCCAGCGTGTGGGACTGGCAGCGGTGCCCCTGCCCGCTGCTGCAGCCCATTGCCGCCCACCTGCACCGCACACGGGCTCCCTGCCCTCGGCCGTGCGGCCCCCCGGGCTCCTCTCCAGGCTCCTCTCCAGGCTCCTCGCCCTCCCCGAGCCCCCAAGGGCAGGGGGGCGTGTGGCTGGGCTGATGTGGGGAAGCTGCGCTGCTGAGCGAGCGGGGTTTGTGATGGGCCGTGTGTTCCTTGGGCTCATCGGGCAGCACGTGAGGGGGCAGCAGGAAGAACTCCAGGTCATCTACGAGCGTGAGTGAGGGCAGCGGGGTGTCAGCAGGGACTGGGGAGGAGGAGGAAAGAGCCTGTCCTGGGAGCTGCAGCCCCTGCAGCCAGGGAGGACTCTGCTCCCTGCCCGGACGAGGGGCGACGTGGGCAGAGCAGAGATTGCAGGGGTACGTGGGCTATTCGTGGCCAGCACCTTCCGGCTGATCCCCTTGGCCCCTGCTCCCTCCTGGCCATGGGAAGAGCTGGGTGGGGTGGCCCTGGCAGGAGGGGTTCCCGGGATCCCCGCAGATCCGGGCTCTGACCTTGCCTGTGCTCCTCTCTGTTCCAGCCCTTGAAAGCGTGACAAAAGACATCAGCCCCTTCGTCTCCAGCCTGGCACTCCAAACCCTGTTCCTGCTCAGGCCTGCGGAGGGGAATCCTTCCTCCAGATCTGGGCTGAAGGTGCTTCCAGACCAGCTCCGGAAGGTTTGGGAGAGGAGACCTTGTCTCTGGGGCAGCGGCTGGCTGTGCAGAGCTGATCCCAGGGACCCCCACCTGCTCTTCCCTGACTAAACAGCCCTGCTCCTTCACCTCGTCTGCGTGTCTTTCCTTTGTGGGACTGAAACAGTGGAGAAAAGTCAGGCCCTGAAGCAACCAGGACCCTCAGGAGAGAGCGACCAGCTGTGCCCGCTCTCCAGCAGCCATCGGCAGGGCCCGGACCCGGAGCCCGTGGCCTGGCCACAGGCGCCAGCTGCTCTGCCGGCCTGCGAGAGCAAGAGGAAAGGAGAGGAAAAGCTTTTGCCTCTCAGGCACCCGCTCTGCAGCTTTCACGTCTTGTGTTGCCCTTTCTGTCCCTGGGGGCCCTGGCACACAGACACTGGAACTGCCCGTCTTTTGCCACAAGAGCTGTTGTGAGGGGAAGGAGGGCAGCCCTGACGTGATCATCAAAGCACACTGTGCTGTGGGAGGCAGAGGAGGGAGCTGCTGAGATGGATGGGTAAATGCTGTACGTTATATATTTATAAATTGCCAAGAGATTGTTGCCTTCCAGATGATGCTTTGATCCAGTTATGGCAGCTCTGCTGCGAGCCCCCAGGCTGGGTTTGTGCCCTCAATGCCCCAGAGCTGGGAGGCTGCTGGAGGCCTTAAGGACATCCCCTGGGAGAGAAGCATCTTGCCCCTGCTCCACCAGGTGCCAAGCTCTTTCTCTGCTGGGCAATGTGCCCTCACACAAGGGCCGGGTGACGGAGGGGTGGATGCTGCAGGCTCTTTGCCAGGAGCAGGAGCATCCCCCACCTGCTCTGATTGCTGCCGCGGTGGCTCGCTTCCTCATGGGGGGCAGAGTCTCACCGTGACATGGTGACATCCCTCCAGCCCTCTTATTTTTGCATTGTTGAATTTGTCTTCTTCCACTGTGCATTGAGACAGAGAAGATTGATCCCCCAAGACCATCTACTCTAAAAACGGAGCGTAACAGCATTACTGCCAAGGATACAAACCTTGTAAGCTTTCCTGTGCAGTGGGATACCAAGGTCTGCTCTGTTCAATTCCTTGCTCTACAGCCCAGAAAGCAGCAGATGGTGGTAGAACACCAGCAAATACAGAGTTACAGGGCAACAGATGTTTTGGCATGGATTGCCAGGTGAAAGGCGCTATGGTGATGGATGCACACGTCATTGTGTATGTACTTGTGAACATACATATGCTTCAAATACACATGTTGTCACTGCAAAGATAAAGGAGAGTCATGTCTCAAGACCTCATGGACTTAAGAAGCAAGAAGGAAGTCCCACCTTTTCATCAACTCCTGTCACCTTTCCAGTTATTTATCGTGATGCCAGAAATTCAAGGTAGACGGCGTGTTGTTGGAAAATCCTTGGCCATGAGAGCTGTCACACTGCTCTCGTCTCTCTAGGCCCTGTTTTCTCTTTGAGCCAGAAAGGTGGATGTTGTTTCTCTACAACCTACTTAACACATGAGCTCGTCCTCTGCTGCCTTGGACTCTTTCAGCGAGGCTGAAACAGCACAGCTGAAACCCAGGGAGACTGTTGCCGTCTCGGGCTCTGTCCCTCTTGCTGTGCAGCTCCTGGAGGTGAGAGGCTGTACCTCATGCCCAAGTAGAAGTTCCTTTGTGGAAGGCTGTGCCTCGAGCTTCCTGTGCTTTTGCTGGGCACTTCTGAGAAAGGCTCAGCTCTGCCTTTCCTTTTTAGGTAAAGACAACAGTCAAATCCCTCTTTCACCTTCTCCAGGCTGAAACAGCCCAGCTCTCTGCTCCACTTCTCATACACCACATAATCCAGCTGATAATGGTTTTATCAGTCTTCCTCTGGACTGTCTCCTGTTTGTCTACATCCCTCTTGCAGTGTTGGTCATCAAGATTTACCAGATGAAGCCTCCCAGTGTCAAGAAGGGTAATGCCAGCTACACTTGCTAATGCAGCACCTCATGGGACAGCTGATAAATAAAAACCTTTTCAGGGCATACAGGCTTTATCCAAGTTTCTCCTACACTGGATTCCAAAGGAAACAGCAAAATGCACAGTTAAAAAGAAGCTAGGAAGCATGGGCACATCACATCAAATGCTAAAAGCTTTTTATTTTTCTTAATGAGGTATACATTACACGTAAAATGCCACCATCACTTTACATGGCACACAGGCTAAATAAGAACATTTGACTTGGTGGGAAAAGGCACTGCTTTGAAATGCTGGGCTCCCCACTTTGTCACCAGAGAGGCTCAGCATGGAGATAAAATAAACAGCTGGTAAGAAAAGGAGAGCTGCTGCTACTGTTGTCCGAGAAGCCTTCACAGCTTCCACTGCAGTTGCACAGGAGGAAACAAACTCATTGTCTGAGAGCATCTGTGAAATGTCCCCTGCACAGTGCAGGAGGGTTACATACACGCCTACTCAAGCCAAGGGGAAAGAGCAAGTGAAGAGTCCACTAACAGTGAGGTAATCTGGCAAAACTGACTCTAAGGATAAACGTCTGCTTCACCTTTTGCAATCTGTCCCCTAGTCCACTTCTGAAAAAGTTTATCCTGCTTACCAAAGCCATGTAGACCTGTAGGGCAAAAGACCCACCTGAAGCACAGAGTGGAGCAGAATACTTCCCAGCAGCCAATTCTAGGTAGCAGGTGACTGCAAGAACTAGAATTAGTACTTGTTCAAAACCCTTCTCAAACAGGAGCTGCACTTTCTGTCTGGCTGGCAGCACAGCACAGGGCGCTTCCCCTGTGCCATGTGCAGCCGTCTCCATCAGAGCACAACCTCACCTGCAAGGTTCCTGACTGCCAGGTTTATAGATGTTATCTCAGGGCCTGATGACCTCTGCTGTCTGATTGTCCTCAGTTTGCTCCCTTGCATAAACTAAAAGCAGAAATGCAGAAAACTCACTTGTTGAATTAATGGGAGGATCCATTTAACTGGCAACTCAAAAGGCCTTTAAGCACTCTCCCTAGCAAAGCGTCACCGACACTGAACTGGGTGATCCCAAAAGGGTGTTGACTTTTGCATCAATCCAACTGAACAGGCCTTTGGGAGGATAATGGAGAAAAAGAAAAGTTTCCTTTGTAAAGATAAAACATAAAAAGAAACGTAACTTTCCTTTTACCACCCTACATGCCCCATTATGTGCCCCTCTCAGCACAGACCCAGTGAGACTGCTACTGGAAGCAACTGGTGTTCAGGTAGAAAACCACCTCCTCTTCTTTTCTTGAGCACTGATTGCATCCGACAATTTGAATGTTCACAAATTAGTATTTGAAAAGGGAAGATTTCCCCAAGGAATGGCAGAGTTTACGCACAATCTGCAGCTCATGTAGTGCAGGTTATAAAACAGAGATGTGGGGTTTTTGTGATCAGAGAGGCAAACATTGAACAGAACAAAAAATAAAAGACAGAAATGCAGTAGAGACCACAGTTGTGTTACATTTATATAAGTCAACTGTTCCTCTGCCTCCTCAGAATTTCAAAGAAAGATGCAACTTACTCAGTTTCAGGACAAAGTTTTGCCTTTCAAGTCTCAATTGCAGTGTCTAGTATTGTCCTCTAACCCTAGCTGTGCTGAGAACTGGATCCCAGGCTGCCTTCATTTTCCTCACTCCCATCCCTGCCTGGCTAAGAAGATGAATATTGCTTGTACTTCAAAACCCAAGTGTCAAGTAAACACTGAGAAGAGGGTAGAGGACTGAGTTGTAGTTTGGTATTTCCTCATAGTTTTTCCTTATTCTTTTCAGCTCGCCAGTACTGAAGTCCTTGGATTTCTCTGTATTTTAGTACACAATTTTCCAGTGAGTTGGCTGCTCACAGTTTTTCTCTTTTTCACCACAAAATCTGTTGTAAGTAGTTTTTGGATCAAATCCCAAGATTTCCCTTTCCTCGTGGATCCGGAAGGAAAATGTTGAAACTGAGGTGCCTATAAAATACCTGTGGGGAAAAAAAAAAAAAGCAGAATGGGTTTGTGAAGGGGGATGGCCTTTAAAATGCAAGTAACTGATTTCAGTCCAATGAACTTTACTCTTCATTGAAGTGATAACGAAATTATCGTATATTTTATATATATATATACGCAATATAACTATTAGACATCTATTTTATATATATGTGAATTATATAATATCATGTCATATATTATTTGATAACGACTGGACTTGATGATCTTACAGGTCTTTTCCAATTGAGGTAATTCTGTGATTCTGTAAACAACAATATCTAAGCCAAAACCAATATCCAGTTTTGTGACAGTAAGATTTGACTCCTCAAAGAAAACTCAACTTCACTACCTTGCATGAGCGCAGATCCACTGGTCAATCACAGCCAAGCCCCCATCTTTGTAGAGTTCCAGCTCCTCCCAAGAGGGTTCAAACCTCACCATCTCAGGCAGCAGTTTCTTGAGCAACTCAATCTCTGAAAAAGGGAAAGATGCAAATTCATTTTTACATTATAAAGAAACTCACTGCTGTCCTAAAATGTGTTTAGGGAAACCCTGGGTGAACAGTGAAGTGAAACCAAAGTCTACTACAAATTTTACAACATGTTTGATATATATCAGAGTATTGTAGGTGGTGGGGGGAGTCAGTGGGGCAGAGATATGGTGCTGAGAGGGGCAATTCTCAGGGGGTAGAACAGATGCTACTACTAGCTTTGCTGCCTAATCCTACAGGGTAGGTGTACCAAGAGGCCTTTCTTAACGGTAAACTTAGATTAGTTATCACAGATGCCATGCCCTGCAGGGTTAATCTAACATTATGCATTGAAACAGATCCCTAGATGCTGCTAGGAGGGAGGTGCAGCCTAAGGATAAGGCCTGGAGGGGGGAAAACTCCAGGGGGGTTTCTAAGCCTTGGCCACACACAGCCAGGTCCACCCCAGCCTGGTGTTGGGGGCAGCCAAGGGGAAGGCTGGGTGGGAGAAAGACTTCAGAAGGCCCATCCCACCAGCGTGTTTAAGAGTCTCTGGAATGCCAAGAAAAAAGGTGGGATGGAAGAAAGAAGAGGAGGAACAGGCAAATTCAACTGCTGATTTCCCATTGCAGAGATCGTCAAACCTCCTATGGGAAATACCAAATGAATGGTTTGATACCAACTATTCAAACTGGAAGGAAACAGCTGCCCAATCCTGTTCAATGACAGAAGGCATACAAACTTCCAGTCATTTACAGAAACGAAGTGATAATTGCTGCACTCATTGTCAAAAGTTATCAATCCTAAAATGACTATAACCTGCCTACCCTCCTCGACAGCATCAGTGGCTACGAACACTTTTTCAAGTTTATGCATCTCCAAGAGGCTGTGGATTTTCTTTACTGCTCCTTGCAGGGAAGGCACATCTTCTCTGTGACCCCAGATGAAGTCTTTTCTTCTGAGATGAACCCCAAGGTATGGACCACCTAGAGCTGTGCCCATCTTAACCTAAGAAAGAAAGATCAATAAACTTTAAAGCTTGAGAGTGCCACTGTTTATTCACACGGAAAAGGCCTGAAGGTATAATTTTAGGATAAGGCACTGAATTACTCTGGCTGCAGAAAGTAATTTTAAGGTGTGGACTGGCAGTATTTTGGGACACTTATTGCAGCATTTTGATCTTGGGTGGCCTGCATCATACAGGAGAACTTAGAGTCTGAAATCTTTGAAAGCAAAAATTGCTCTCCTTGACCAAATCCACAACTGGCAGTTTCCAGCTGAACTTCACACCCACAGATGATAAAATCATACAACGTTGTGAGTTGGAAGGGACCCACAAAGATCATTGAGTCCAACTCTTGCCCTAGCATAGGACAATCGTAAGATTCAGACCATGTATCTGAGGGTCTTGTCCAAATGCTTTTTGAATATGATGCTGAAATACAAGAAAAAATACAAGTTTCCTTTAGTGAAACAAGAGTAACAGAAATCTGGCAAACAGAACCAGTCACTCACACCTCAACAGACTTCGTTAACTCATGTCACACATGAGAAGGTGGCACGGCAGGAACACGCACGTCCACCTCAATCCGAGCAGGGAGAGCTAGATGCACACAGATCTTCCAGTATTCTCTAGAGTGTACAGCCAGGAGTACACAAATAAATTTTTTAAATTATATTTGTTATGGGAAACAGACTATTATGATTTTACCTTCATCTGTGTCCAGTCCTCCTTGTAATGAGTCCTGTCTGCCTCATCAGTGGATTGAAGATATTTCTTTCTAAACTCATCTCCCACTACACGGAGGTGTTTAGCAAACACCATGCTCCGACGGGTCTGTTGGAATAAGAGCAGATGCCAACTCAGAAAAAGGGAGAGCTAAAAATGACTAAATGGAGATAGTTTCACATACACAGAGCTCCCAGGATGCTGTTACTTGTGATACATCCATGCAGCACTACAAGCAATTTCTAACCTTGCAACTGAGCTTTTAACTGTTTAATCCTGATCATAATCACATTTATAACCAGCATACTCATCTGACCCTGCAATACATAGGAGTAGGGAGTAGACTGTAGTTATTTACACAGCAGAACACAAAATATACCAAATTAAACACTCTAGCAATCAACCTCACCTTTGGAAACAAAAGCTGGGCAAAGACTTCAGCTTGCAAAACATCTGTAAGAATAAAACCTGCTTCAAAAAACCATGCATCTAGCCACAGACACTCCTATCAAACTCAGTGGAAAAGTGACAAAAAGGAATTATTTCCTTCACCTGTGGATAACAACATCTTTCAAAGATTCTGTGATGCAGTTACCACTGCACACAGTCACACATACTCTTCTTATTAACAGGCACATACAACAGAACTCGGGAAATCCCATGTGACTGACGTCGCTTACAAAGGACACTTAGCAAAATCCTTCATTTTATACAAGGTCTGTAGCCTGTCACGTTCTGGGCACCAAAGAAGGTGCAACAAAAAAACTTCTCCAGTTTCCAACGGCCTCTCTTTTCTCAGCACAATGAAGCCCACAGTGAACAGAGCTCACTACATAGCAGAGAAGCCAGGCAGAGCATTACTGCTCCTCCAAGACACAGCCATTAGCTCTAGCAAAGACACGGGAACTAAAATCTGCCAGCCTTTTTTCACCTTTCCCCAGAGCAGCTACTTTTCCATATGCCAAACTCGCTGTGGTTGAACTGGTTCCTCCTCGATATACTTCAGTCAGACACAGAACAATTTAGTCTTCTGTAAGCTCCCCCACACTGGTACCTGGAGATCCACACCCCTCTAAATCTTTAATGGCAGTACAAAGCCTGCTCTTCTAACGTCTTTAAAGAGATCACCACTGGCTTTCTAAACCCATCCCAAATCCTCCAGCAAAATGTTTTTATTAAGGGAGTATGGAAACACTGTCTGCTGCAGAATGCTCATGCTGCAGGTCAGAGAGAGGAATTTTCCCTCTTTTTTTGTCATATGTCAAAACAGAATTGCTTAGATTGGAAAAGCCCTTTAAAATCATCAAG